TTGACTACGTGGGAGTCCAGCGACATAGCCATTACGCTAACTGCTGGTTCCCTCTCTCTTTCTGTTCAAATTAAAAGATAACAATGACAAATGGAATTAAATAAATATTTTTTTAAATGCCCTTTGTAGTATAAAGTGTTGTTGTATTTTACGTATTCTATAAGGTACATACATGGACTTAGCGGGAGAGATAGAGAAAGAGGGAAAATGAGAAATCACTCATCAGGGACATGGCCACACCATAATCCCTTCTCCTTCATTCTCCTTTTGGGACTTTAGGCACACATGTGTGTGCATACATACAAGCCTGGTGTGATTTTCAAGTTGAAGCGTCTGGGACTCAAACTGTTCACTGACCATTAGAATCCAGCTGCCTTAACCTCCACACCAGCTGCTGATCCACAGTATAAAGTTGTAATTTTTAAAAAGGTTTTTGCCATAGGACATGTGCATTCTCCAGAGAGAGACAGAGACAGAAAGTGAGAAATCATAACACAGAGAGTATGGCCACCCTGTAATCATTTCTCCTTCATTCTTTCCCTGTCATTTTGGGCATATACACACATGTGCCCAGCATGATTTTAAGGCTACCAAGTCTGGTGAACAAACCGGCATCAGCCATGTGAGAATCCAACTCCTTAATTACCATTCCACTTGCTGGCCCCCTGTCAAATTTTAAAAGGAAGTTTGACTTTTTTTCTTGATGCATTTTTCTGGACTATTTCAATTTCTGTTAACATGGCTTTTTGAGAAAACCAATTGGGTTTTGAGAACTGCGCTCTTTTTTTCCACTTTGTAGTTTATCAATCAGTTGCTTGGAGTTGTTCCTTTGTCGACACCAACAGAAGACAAGCTGGCACTGCCTGCTGACATCAGAGCTCTGCAGCAACATCTGTGTGTGGTACAACTGACAAGGTTACTGGGCTTATACCATATCATGGATAAGAATCAGAAATTGAGCGTGGTCAGAGAACTGATGTTAAGGTATCAGCATGGACTGGAATTTGGTGAGCAACCTCTCAAAATGTGCACATATTTCCTAGTCTGTTCTTCACCTCCCAGAGCACTCATTTTAATGAGTTGTGTTAGGAGAATATTTTGTCAAGCGGAAAAACCGTTGAAATAATAGTACGTTAAGCCTTTCTTAAGCTTAGAGTTTTAAATACTTGCAGTTGGCTTCCAGTCATCAATGTTCTTCCTAATCTGATGAGCTCTTTACTCCACTGGGGCTTGTAAATCACATGGTTTATGGCAGTCGTTGCATTTTCTGCTTATATGCCTTAATATTCTCGACATACAGGCTAAGTTATCAGAAAGAATATTGTAAATCGGAAGATGGATAGTTGAGTAGATGATCTTTAGAGCGGACTAGGTTTTCCTAAATATGTATGATAGAAATGTAAATGATCTGACTGGAAGATGTCAGTATTCCTTTAACTGTAATCTGAAAATTAATTAGAATGAAGTAAGAAACATAATTTTAATTTTGTAACATAATATCCCTTGGCTTATGTCCTTTTTTTCATCTAAAACTTCCCTCTAAATTTCATTGCTTCTCCTTTGGTGGCCATCGTGGATACCCTTTCTTCTGTTCCAGCTGTATGTGGGCTCACTTTTTTTGGAAACCTTTTATTTATGGCTATTATATTTTTCTCTATAGGGAAATCTTGTTTGAAAACAGAATTGCAATTTTCCGACTATTACTGTCTGCTTGCTGTCCATGTGCTTATTGATATATGGAGAGAAACAGGTAAGTAGCAGTGATTTTACTTAAGTCTATTCTTGGTTTACACTGATTCTAAGTACTGTATTTTTCTGCCTTTTTTAAAAGAATTATTTAATTTAATTTAATTTATTCATTCATTCATTTTATTTTATTTATTCATTCATTTATTTTAATTTGACCAGAGAGAAACACACACACAGAGAGAGAGAGAGTAAGAAAACAACCAGGTCCAGGACTTGAACTGTGGTCGGCCATGTGGGAGTGTCAAGCGCCTAAACTACCATGCCACCTGCTGGTCCCCTGATTCTAAGTACTGTATTTTTTCCCTAGCCTAAGTGTATAATCTTCAGGTTTGCTTTATGCTTTAGGTCCCTGTTCCATTCTATGGGTGCTTAGGGGAATCCAATTCTATTTATTCCCCTCCTTGTAATTACTTTTTTAAAAGAATTCTTTTATTTGACTTTATTTGTACCAGGGTATTATTTGTTTATTTAAATTTGGCCAGAGAGGGACAGAGTGAGAGAGTGAAAGTGTGAGAGAGAGAGAGAGAGAGAGAGAGAGAAAGTGAGAAAACAAGCCACCAGGTCCGATCCTCAAACTGTGGTCATGTGGAAGTACAGCGCCCTCAATTACCACACCACCTCCTTCCTCTCCCCCATTGTATTTATTAAGGCAGTGTTAAGTCAGTGGGTATCTGTTTTGTTTTTAAATGTTTATGAATAATGAATAGTTACAAAAACACCTTTTATAGGGCTGGCAGGTGGCGTGGTGGTAAGAATCCTGGACTCTGACATAGCCAACCATCATGTTCAAGTCCCAATCTGGCAACTTGCTTTCTCACTTTCTCTCTCTCACTCTGTCCCTCTTTGGTCATATTAAAATAAATAAGTGAAGATAATTTTTTTTAAGTAACAAAAGAAAACACACCTTTTATAAAGCTACCCTGGTACTGGCATTTGGTGAGGTGGTTAAGGTGCTGGACTCCCCCACATTACTGACCATGATATGAGTCCGAAACCTGGCAACTTGCTCGCTTTCTTGCTCTCTCTCTTTCTCTCCCCATCTCTCTCTGGTTAAATTGAAGACTAATCATGGTAAATAAAATTAAATTTATAATTCTTTTTTTTTATAAGCTACACTAAATTCTCTTTATAAACCAAGTGATATATTGTGATCCAATGTTTAAAATAATAATAATAGAATACTAAACTAAAAAATAAACTAAAAAATATAAAATTTAAAAAGCTACACTAATGAAGCTACAGAAAAACTGATACAAAAATAAACCACAGGGGGAACCAGCAGTTGGGGGAACCAGCAGTTAGCGTAATGGCTATGTCGCTGGACTCCCACGTAGTCGACCATGATTCGCGTCCCAGACCCAGTGGCTTAAAACTCATGCCGGGCGCGTGTGCGTGCATGCCCAAGATCCCGAGAGGAAAGTGGAGGAGAAGGGATTGCGGTGTGACCATTGTCCTTGGGGGGTGATTTCTCGCTTTCTGTCTCTATGTCTCTCTCTGTCTGTCTGGCGAGCGCACGCACCCTATAGCGAAAAACCTCTCCCAAAAAATAAATAAATAAATAAACAAACAAACCACAGGTAGGTCTGTGGAACAGAATAGTCTTTCTGTTTAGATAGAAGGTTTTATATACAGAAATATGCATTTTTCCTGGACAATAGTTCTGATTAGCACAGTTAAGACAAAAATATAATACAGGGTAAAGTAAGCATCCTCAGTCATTGAGGAAGAGAAGAATGATTCAGGAAATGGTATAGAAATTGCTTTTTCTTTAGGTTCTATTCTCTGCCATTTTTTCTACTAGTGGTTTTGGGGGAAAGTAACTTAGATGCTTTGTTGCATATTAATATTCACAAGAATAAGCTACAGAAGAAACAAAGGATTGGGGAAATGCAAGCTAGAGACAGCCCCTGTCCTTATGGTCATTTTTGTTTAGTGTTATTATTTTTTAATTTGACCAGAGAGAGAAAGTGGGAAAGCACCCCCTGAGGTGTAATCTCTTCTTCATTCTCTCAAGATTTGGGGCATATATGTATATGCACCCAGCATGTTTTTCAAGCTGCTGTATCAGGGACTCAAACTGTGTAGCTGGTCATGTGGGAGTCTAGCCTCCTTAAACTCTACATCACTGGCCCAGCATTCCCATTGTTTTTAGTTTTTGCTCTAGGGTACATGCGCTTGCCAGAGAGAGACATAGAAAGAGAGGAAGCAAGAACTTACCCACTAGGGAGAATGACCACATACCAATTCCCTCTTCCTCTCTTCTCTGTTCTCCTTCTGGGATTTTGGGCACATACGCACACACACCAGGCATATATTCCAAGCTGCCAGCTCTGGACCTGAACCTTGCAGTTTGCCTTGTGGGATCCAGCTGCCTTAACCTCCACACCAGCAGCTGGCCCATCACCTCCATTCTTTTTCTTTGGAGAGGTTTTTGCTTTAGGGCACGTGCACTCACTAGACAGAGAGAGACATAGAGACAGAAAGCGAGAAATCACCCCCCGGGGGGGATGGTCACGCTGCAATCCCTTCTCCTCCATTCTCCTCTCGGGATCCTGGACACGCACGCAAATGTACCCGGCATGAGTTTTAAGCCACCGGGTCTGGGACACGAACCGTGGTCGACTACGTGGGAGTCCAGCGACATAGCCATTACGCTAACTGCTGGTCCCTCACCTCCATTCTTAAAGTTCTTCAGAGGTGCCCTACTTCCTTGATAAAAACCATTTTAGGATTTTTTCCTTCTTTCTTTCTTCCTATCTTTATTATTATTAATTTGATGAGAGAGAAAGAAAGTAAGAAAGCAGGCTGCCAGTTCCAGTACTTGAACTACAGTCAACCATGTGGGAGTCCAGCGCCCTTAACCACCATGCCACCTGCCAGCCCCCACCATTTTAGGATATTTTACAATACTCTTAATTCTGGCCTCTGCTAATCTTCTGATTCTATTTTTTTTTCAATTATTTTATTAAACTTTGTTTATTTTATTTATTTATTTTAATTTGACCAGAGAGGGATGAGGGTGAGGGTGAGTGAGAAAGAAAGCTGCCAGGTCCAGGACTTGAACCACGGTCTGCCATGCAGGAGTCCAGTATTCTTAACCACCATGTCACCTGCTGGCCCCTCTCCTGCTTCTTAAATACTTAGGTACAGGTCCTGAGTCTACTTTTTTTTTTTTTTTGAGAGGTTTTCGCTATAGTAGGGGGGATGGTCACGCCGCATTTCCTTCTCCTCCATTCTCCTCTCGGGATCTTGGGCATGCACGCACATGCACCTGGCGTAAGTTCTAAGCCACAGGGGCCGGGACGCGAACCACGGTCGACTACGTGGGAATTCGGCGACATAGCCATTACACTAACTGCTGGTTCCCCCTGAGTCTACTTTTTAAACTTTTTGCTACCATCACTTGAAATTGTGTTGCCTGTCTTTGAAATAATTTTCTTAATTCCTTTATCTAACATTTGCTAAAACAGTGCCTCTGACAAAGTCTGCTTTGATTTTTTTTCTTTTCTTTTCTTTTTTTAGAGAGGTTTTTGCTATATGGCATGTGTGCTCGCCAGAAAGACAGAGAGAGACAGAGAACGAGAGATCAACCCTCTGGGGGTATGGCCATGCCACAGTCCCTTCTCCATTCTCCTCTCAGGATCCTGGGCACACACACACACACACGTGCCTGACGTGAGTTCAAGCCACTGGGTCCACAGTCAACTACATGGGAGTCTAGTGACATAGCCATTATACTAACTGCTGGTCCTAAAGTCTGCTTTGATTTTTACCTATTACTTTTTTGTGGATTTTATCCACAAAATAGTAAGTACCACCAGTAGGATAATTTCCAGAGAGAGAATAGAGAGACAGAAAGTGAGAAGTCACTCCTGGGGGGATGGCCATGCTACAATCCCTTCTTATCCATTCTCCTTTTGGGATTTTTGTGTGTGGACGCACGCAATCACACCCAGTGTGAGATGTAAGCCGCCAGGTCTGGGACTCAAACCACAGATTATGTGGGAATCTAGCGATGTAACCATTACACATTTAAGATCCCAACTATTAGAATATTAAAAGTATAGTCATCCCTCAGCTTCCATGGAGAATTGGTTCTAGCACTGCCCATGGATACCAAAATTCAAGGATGTTAAGTCCTCCTATATCAATGACATTGCATCATTGGAAAAGTCATGACATTTTTGATATAGAACAACATTGAAAAATATGTTATGACTTTTCTGACAACCCAATATTTGCATGTCACCTACGCATATCCGTTTACATGCTCTAAATCAGCCTAGATCACTTGTAATTACCAGTACAGTGCCTGTACATCGCTTCATTCACATAGATTCAGCGTAGTACCTGGCATATGGCAAATTCAAGTTGTGCTTTTGGAATTTTATGGAATTTACAAAAAATAATTATTATGACTATTTAACTTGCTATGGGGCATGTGCCCTCAATAGAGAGAGACACAGAAAGAGAGAGAGAAAGTGAGAAAGCCAGCTGCCAGTTCCAGGACTCAAATCACTGTGTGCAGTGTGGGAAGTCCAGCACATTAACCACCACACCACCTCCTGGCTCCTGGATTTTTTTCTTTTTCTCTGAACATTTTTGGTTCAAAGCTGGTTGAATCAGTGAATGTGGGACCTGTGGATACAGAGGGTTGACTGTAATTTATATGAATTAGCTTAATGTCCTAATAATAGTTATTATAATTTTATAGATGAGAGTGACCAGCAGTTGGCATAATGGCTATTTTGGTGTACTCCCATGTATGTAGTTGACTGCAGTTCGCATCCTGGACCTGGTGGCTTAAACTCACCTGGGCACATTTGCGTGCGTGCCCAAGATCCTGAGAGGAGAATGGAGGAGAAGGGATTGTGGTGTGGCCATCCCCCCTGGGGGGTGATTCTCACTTTCTGTCTCTCTGTCTCTGTCTTTCTGGTGAGCGCATGCCCCTATAGGAGCAAAAACCTCTAAAAAAAAAAAAAAACACACACAAAAAACAACTTTATAGATGAGAGACATATAGGACAGAGAGAAAGAAGTTGTCCAAAATCCTACCACAAAGAGATACATTGGGAATCATTTGCAAAATGAAATTGTAGCTTTTATAAAGATGTAGGATAGTTTGAAATCAATTGAAGTGATTCTGTGAGATTCTGTAACTTTCCTACACAGTACCTGGCCACTTAGTCTGCATCATTTTTGCAGAGACTTTTTATAAGAGTTATCTTATTTATCTTAATTTGACCAGAGAGGGCTAAGAGTGAGAGAGAGAGAGAGAAAGTGAGAAAGCAAGCCGTCAGGTCCAGGACATGTAGGAGTTCAGCGCCACACCACCTGCCGACCCCACAGAAGGCATGTTTAAGAACTGATGTAACTATTGAGGGACTGCTTATTTAGGGAAACTCCATATTATGGTTACAAATGTTTTTCTAAAATTTGTTCTCTGCCATCTAAACTCATTTGCAGAATAGTTAGGGGAAACAATGGTATCGATTAAGTTTTTGGTTTTGAGTCAACGCTATTTGCTGCCAGGATCAGTGGATAGTGACCAGTAGATGGTGTAGCGGGTATGTTGCTAGATTCCCGCATGGCTAACTGAGTTCAAGTTCTGGACTCAGTGGCTTGATAATCACACTGGCCATGTGCACATGTGTCCAAGATCCCAGGAGGAGAATGAAGGAGAAGGGATTGTGGCATGACCATCCCCCCTGGGGGCGGTGACTTCTCACTTTTTCTCACTGTGTTTGTCAGTCTCTCTCTCTAGCAAGCACATACACCCTAAGGTAAAAACTTCTTTAAAAAAGAAGAATTAATGGATAATGCTACCTTTTATTTTTAGGTGATGAGACTGCTGTGTGGCAGGCCCTGACTTTACTGGAAGAAGGATTGACCCATAGCCCTTCAAATGCTCAATTCAAATTGCTGCTTGTTCGAATCTACTGTATGCTGGGTGCATTTGAACCAGTGGTGGATCTTTACGCCAGTCTCGATGCCAAGCATATCCAGCATGATACCATTGGGTTGGTAGTATATACTCTGGGTACTCATACATGGGACTTTGTAACATTCAGATTTTAGTAGTGGAGTTTTTTCCTGACATTAAGCATTTTAGATTAAATAATCACCTATTATCACCCATTATAAAGCAAAAAGAGTTATATCTTCCAGCATTTTGTGGTAATTTTAAAATTTTCCTAGTTTAGAATGGGTAAGAAAAGTTTTCCCACAGAGAGCAAACAGCTATATAAATTCAATCCTTACTTTTAGAAAGCAGTATTATACTCTTTTTATTGTTTATTTTTATTCCATAAGGGCACAGGCACTTACTATAGAGAGAGAGATCCCCAATTGGGTGTGGTCCTCCATTTCTCCATCCTATCAGGATTCAGGGTTCATACACATATGTATGTTTTTCAGGCTGCCATAGTAAGGGTTCAGACTAGTCAGCAGTGGGATCTGGCTCCTCGTGCACGGCACTGAACCACTGTGCTGCAGAACCAGTCCAACGTGCGTTGTCTTTCCTTTGGTCTTGCAATTGAGGTTGACCCCTATACTTTATTTGTTGCCCTCAGAGCGCCTTTTGGATTTGACTATTTCTTGTGATGACTTAAAGCAATTTCTATCTCTTGTGATGCTCTTTTAGGAAGATAGTATTATGTTCTCTTACATTTATGTTCCGTTAGTGATCAGAGTGGGGCCAGCTGGGGAGGGAGATGGTAGTTAAAGCACCTGAATCCCATGTGGCAAACTGTGCAGTTTCAATCTTGCTTCAGCAGTTTGAAAAGCACACTGGGCGGGACCAGCAGGTGGTGTGGTGGCTAAGGCGCTGGACATTCCCACATGGCCAACTATGGTTCAAGTCCCGGACCTGGTGACTTACTTTCTCACTTTCTCTCTCTCTCTCTCTCTCTCTCTGTCTCACTCTGGTCAAATTAAGAAAGAAAAAAGAATGAATGAATAAAATTACATAAATAATTTTTAAAAAATAAGAAAAAGGAAAAACTCGCTGGGCACATGTGCATGATGCCTAAAGTCCCAGGGGAGTGAGAAATGGAGGAGAAGGGATTTTATTATGACTATCTCTCATAAGGGGGTGTTTTCTCACCTTCCTACTCTAGTCTCTCTCTGGTGATCACATATAACCCAAAATTAAAAAAAAAAAAAAATAGAATAAGGTCAGAATGTAAGAACACATGGCATGGAATGTTAGGTTTCCCATAAAACTGAGGTACCATTGCTCTTTTTTTTCCCCTTTAATTTGATTCTGTGAATTAGGTCATTTCTAGAGTAGGATGTTTTATTTTTCCTTATGTTTAGCTATTTCTTTTCCATAGTAGTTTGAAGTATAGTATGTGCTACTAGAGATGGATAAGTATAATATATTTCTTTTTCTTCTCTCCTTCTGACCTAGTTATCTTTTGACTCGATACGCTGAATCTCTAGGTCAGTATGCTGCTGCATCCCAATCCTGTAACTTCGCACTCAGGTTTTTCCACTCCAACCAGAAAGATGTAAGTGAAAAATCATCTTATTATGGTTTTGCCTGCTGACTGTACACAATTCAGAACATGATTTCATGTTCCAAGTGCATGTGTTGAGGTGCACTGTGCTGTACTAGCATGTGTTGTTAGGCTGTAGCTTATGATCCAAGGCTGTTACATAGAGGTAACGAATTACTCCTGTTAACATGGGTGTGTGTAATAGAATGTTGCGTTTAACATTGGGTATTAACAGGGTAGGAAATGTTATGCAGCCTAGATCTATCTTTCGATCTCTAAGAGATCTTTTCCAAGGGCGTAAGGAATAGCCTGTGGGACTAGATGTTGGCATAATGGCTATCTTGCTGGATTCCCATGTAGATGATCATGGTCCGAGTCCTGGACCTGGTGGCTTAAACTCACGCCGGGTGCGTGTGTGTGCATGCCTAAGATCTCGAGAGGAGAATGGAGGAGAAGGGATTGCAGCATGGCCATCCCTCCCCCCCCGGGGGGTGATTTCTCGCTTTCTCTCTGGTGAGCACACACGCCTATAGCAAAAACCTCTCCAAAAAAAAAGAAGAGAAGAAAGAAATAGCCTGTAACATTTATAGCCTGGGATACCATGTTAGATTCCACAATAGCAGCTGCTCTCTACTAACTTTTATTTCTGAAGTTTATACCCAGCTGTTCTCTTTGCCAGCAGAGAGTACACTTCTGTTCTTAGAATTATATATATAAAATTGACCCATTGAAGTACACTTCAAGAAACTTAGATCAATAGTATGTGTTTTAAAGTAATAATAAATAACATGATAGAGCCTCTCTGTGCCATAATGAAAGGATGGGATTTGCACCATATTTTTCACTGCAGGCAGACTTAAACTTCACTTGGTTAAGCAGAAGTTTTTATGGAAAAACCATATAGTCTCTACTCAGATGACTAACCATGCAAAACTATGTTGGAAAATTTGGGGGGGATCTCTATTTACTTCATTCTTACCTATTTTCAAGGCTCATCACCTACAATTTGGCTATGACAGATATTTGCCCATACCCTTCATTCTCATGGTTACCAGCAACTGAAGAACTTGGCAGGAAAGCTGGTTTCTGGGGTTCTTGGCAAACACTTATGGGGACTTTTGTTGTTGTTGTTTATCCAAGAAAAACCCTTTGTCATTGTAACAGCCATAGCCAATCTACCTTCCATCTAATTCTTTAGGGGTTTGTTAAATATAAGGCAAGGCAGAATCATTTTTGAACAATGGTATATAGGTTTTTTGCTCTTAGCTTATGTTGATTATGTTCTGACCAACTTCCAGTCTGACCCAGAAGGCTGGATGGAGTAGCTGAGGATAGCACTGAGCAGGTGGGACGCTGGCTCTCATGCTTAGAGGGGGAGCCCTGCATCGTCAGCTGGTTTTTAGCTCTGTATCTCCTCCTACTCCCAGACCATCTTCCCTAGTGACTAGAATCTCTGTTCAGACCATATCCTATAGAAGTTTCTGATCAGGGTGAGAGGGGAATGTTGGTGTCAGTATTTGAGCATGTTGTTCAAGAGGTGTTGACCTGGTTTAAAAGTCAGAAAGGCATCTCTAGGACTTTGAATTTCTAAAATATTCTAGCAAGGGTGTGCTATTGAGTTGATTTTCTGAGTTTTCACTGTGTGTTCAAGTATCTGCTTGCCCTCAGTTTTCAAAATGTTTCACTTACTCAAAGTTAAAAAGGACTGATTTGCTCAAATCTTATAATTTTGTCTCATTTCTTATTTATAAGCAAGAGTTCAAAAAATACTTGATTTACCAAAGAATCTTTTCAAGGTTTTGTTTCTTAAATAGCTTTGAGATAACAGGGATAAATAAGGTATTAATTCAAGCCTGATGGCTGATTTTCCTCTGGTTTTCATTCAGTATTCTAGAAGGACCTTATTATGGATGATGATTTGTTCAATAATAAAAGCACATTATTTTATATCAAAAGTTAGGCGTTTTTTTTCTTCTTATAACACTGTGTGATAAGTTGTTTTCAAAACAAAAACCCTAAAAAATAAAAGCACAAATTATTATACTATAGAGAAAGGAGATTCCCCAGGAGTGATTTGAGTGGATGTATTATCATCAGTGGCTTATTTGTATCTTTGATGGTCTCCTGATGGTTGTTTGTGAGAGGAGTGACTAATTCATCTCAATGTATGTGATTTTGAACTTAGTAGAATTATAGCATTCTCTTGATCTGGAAGTAGGACTCTGCTTCAAATTTATTGTATTACTATTAAGAAGATGGTGCTAATTTAATCATATTAAAGTAGGTAATCATGGGGGAGGTCTTGGATACAAAAGGAAAGCATAAGGTGGCAAGAAAAAAATCACCTTGATCTTAATGCTGGAATCCCAAATTAACAGAGATTATGGTATGAATTGTTTTTAAAGGAACCTGAGGCTTACTTAGATCATGACTGTAATGTCTTACTATGTATGTTAAACCTTTCTACTTATAGTATTAGAAATTCTTCTGTGAAACCAAAGCTCTGTATCTTTATTCTTGATAGTTTGGGGACTCCCTAGATGCTTTTTCCTTGTGTGACTGATATATTTCAATTCCTAACTTGCTCTTTGAAAGAATGCTTTTACTCTTTAAAGAAAAACGTACTGTTCTGCTTAGTAAGTCTCTCAATGTAGGAAAGTTATATTTGGGAGGGATTTTTATAGGGATTTTTCTTTCTAGACAGTCTTTTGATTTTCTGTTGTCATCTTATTTTGAAAATTTTTTTTGTAATATGAGAATCAGCAATAGATTTTCAAATCTTTCAAAGTCACTTATGTTTATACTTTCAAAAAATTTCCCTTTAAACTTTCGAGGGGCTCATTATGCTCATTATTCTGGGGTTTTATGTCCACGAATCTTGCTGATTTTTACAGTGACCAGGGTTCATTTCAGGAATCCTTACGGGATCTCAGTAGCCTCATTGATACATAAATCAGTAGAAATAAGTACGGACAACATACTCTGATATTCAAAAGCCTTTGAAGTACCTGTGGCTTCCAGTTTTGCCTGCAGTTCCATGAAGGGATTGTTTCTTCATATAGTAATAACTCTTACAGCCTTCTGGTCACTCGCAGGCACTTGTCTAGCTCTGTAGTGGTACTTTACTGCAGTGTTAAAGGAGGACTATCTAAAAAAGAAGAGTCAGAGAACTACAGCTGCTTTCTTAGTTTGTTAAAGACTATATTCCCTCCATATTGTCCCTTATTTTTCTCTTTTAAAAGCTATTGCCTTTTTTCTGAAGTGATATCTCACACACCACATAGAAATTAAAATTGGCTGTACACTTGTTAAGGCTGGGTTCTCTCCTTTAATCATAGCATATTTTGGAACTATAATTTATAAATTTGACTGAAATCACCAAAGTCCTATTTTTACCTTGATTAGTTGCTGAATATTATGTTTCTTAAACAGCAATTTTTCAAGCTAGAAGTTCATGTTGCAAGGGCTAACAGTAAACCTTGCTGCATTTTTAAGCCAAGTGCCCACAGGATAGGCATATTTGTTTTGAGTATCCCAGCCTTTCCTTAATAGGGTATATCATTGTCCTAATCAAAGTAGAAGGCACACTTGAGCTTTTTCAGATAGTCCTTCTTTAAACCTGCAGGATCACAAGTAATCTTTTTAATTTTCTTGTGTCCGTCCGTCTTTAATTTCTCCAGATACTGCAGGCAAACAGCTCGCCGAGGTGTCCCGTGGGGGTTTAAAAGCCGCATCGAATGCAGTTGAATTAGCGCCCGTGGCGCAAATCCCGCGGCCTGAAATGAACCCTGCGAGGCTGTGTATCAGAGGGTATGTTGTTGACTATTGGCCTATTTTCCTACTGGGCAAATGATTCAAACATAATGGAGATGGGGGCAGAGCTGACTAACTGAGGTTGTGCTAAAGGACTGACTTTTCTAGAAGAGATCTTTTTTTGGGGCAGACATCAGCTTTCCTTGGCCCCCAGGGGTCTTATCCTATCTTCTAATCCTGATGGCTTAGGCTAATGCCCACAAAATGTTCTTCCCTGAGATTTTCTTCTATTTTGCCGGAATTTCTGTTTAGAATTCTTTATCTTGCCTCCTTCCTGTAACATTTCATCCATATTTATGTATTAATCTGTAACTAGAGCCCATGCAGTGAGTACTCCCTTCACTTACTTGTCTATGGAAATTTCTAGCATAGGTCTCATGTAGTTGAATAGACAAGAAACCGGGTTCTTGTGCTCTTTCTGTCCTTAGCATGGATCACGATGAGAATTTTTATAGGTCTTTGGTGTGGTGTCTTACTTTTGTCCTTATGTAATACACAAATTCCTGTGTTTTTTTTTTTTTTGGGGGGGGGGACAACGAACAAAAAAACAGAACCAAGGAGCAGTCTGTCTGTTTTAAAGCAGAGTGAATTTTGAGGGGAGTGCTGGGTGGTGGTTATATTGTTGCTTACTGGGAAGCTTTGTATAAAACACTTTATCTCAGATGCAGAACCTTAAGTAATATCCAAAATTCTGGGTTTTTTTTTTTTTTGGGGGGGGGGACAACGAACAAAAAAACAGAACCAAGGAGCAGTCTGTCTGTTTTAAAGCAGAGTGAATTTTGAGGGGAGTGCTGGGTGGTGGTTATATTGTTGCTTACTGGGAAGCTTTGTATAAAACACTTTATCTCAGATGCAGAAAAACATGGAGTAATATCCCTTCCAGAATGGCACTAACCAAATCTTTGGTTTCTGGCATCACAAAAAGCTCCAGTCCTATTGAATTGATAGACAAAACTGTCAAGAGAAGGTCTATGTGGTGGTAGCATCAGCTGGGAATTGTTATGATTAGTCGTATTGGATATTTTACTAAGTTATAGAATGGGAAAAAATTACATTTTTAAAAGTTGATATTTTGCTTGATGACCAAGACCTTAAAGATAAGATTCAAATTTTACTTAATTTTAGTTTGTTTTATTTTGGCTGGCAAGGTTTGCTCACATTTCCTGACCTGTGAAATATTTATACTAAGGTGATGTCTTTTCTTCCCAGACCTCAGAATACATTATTCAAGCTTACAAATATGGTGCGTTTGAGAAGATTCCAGAATTTATCGCATTTAGGAACAGGCTGAACAATTCTCTTCATTTTGCACAAGTCCGTACTGAACGGATGCTGTTAGACCTTCTACTTGAAGCAAATATGTAAGTATTGCCTAAGAGCTAAACAGGAACTAAGGGATTAGATCAGATGCCAAGTCATTAGTAGACTCAGGGTTGTCATTTACAGGCATGAGATAAGGAAAAATGAGCAAAAAAGAGAGAGAAAGGGGATGGGAACAGGGAAGAAAGGGAAAACAGAACATGATGCATGTCATGGGGATTGACAGGATACTGCCAACAGTGTTGCAGGTCCAGTATAGAAACCAGCTAGGCCATGGTCCATATTGTGCTTCCAACATTTCCTTTCCTGTACAAACAAAGAATTTTAGGAATTACCAGAGCCACTTCATTTTTGGTTGGGGTTCCAGGAGTCTTTCTCTTAGCAGCATGAAATATGCTGGGTTCTACTTCACATTATATGAGCCCGCCCTTTTCTTTATTAATTTTGCCAGGGAATGTACATGCTCTGGGGTGGGGAGAAGCATTCCCCCTCCCCAAGTGGGTTATGATCATACCACAATCCCATCTCCACCTCTCCACCCTGTTAAGATTTTTGGTATGGCTTGTTTTTTAAGCTGCCAAGTCCAGGAGTCAAACCATGTGGTCAGTCTAATTCCCTTAGCCACTAGGCCACAGGGCTAGTCTAAACCCTTACTCTTAATTATAAATCCTTCCCTGTTTCTTTCTTCTCTTTGCAGTAAAACCAAGTCCTCGCTAATACTTTTTCATGGTTGTTTGAAATAATACATACATTTTCTATCACAGATCAACCAGCTTAGCGGAAAGTATAAAGTCAATGAATCTTAAGCCAGAAGAAGATGACATTCCATGGGCAGATTTGCGAGACAACAGAGACTTAAATGTTTTCTTCAGCTGGGATCCAAAAGACAGGTAACCAAATTTAACCTTATGTAAACTATTTTTGAAGAGCTAGGATAAATCTATCCATAAAAACAAATTTCCTTATGTTTACTCTGGAGATCAGAAAATGCATATAAATCAAAGAAGAAAAATATATGTCATCCCTGTGTCAAGATTGCTGGCTGATTTGAAAGTTAGATTTACTTAATAATGTATATGGAACAAATTCCAAATAAAGATTATATGTGAAAACATCTTAGAAATTTAGAAGAAAATGTAGAAAAATTTTAAAAATAATCTGGGACAGCCTTTCTTTTCTTTTCTTTTTTTTTTTTTTTTGAGTGGTTTTTCCTATAGGGTCCATGCACTTGCCAGAAAGACAGAGAAATCACCCTTCAGGGGAAATGGCCATGCCACAGCCCCTTCTCCTCCATTTTCCTCATGGGATCTTGGACATGCACAGACATGTGCCAGGCGTGAGGTTAAGCCACTGTGCCTGGGACCTGAACCGCGGTCAACTACATGGGAGCATGGGAGTCCAGTGACATAGCCATTACGCCAACTGGTGGTCCTGGGACAGCCTTTCTTAACATTATATCATATCTAGAAACAAAAGATTTAGCCTCTTTAAAAAGAAATAATAAACGTAAGTTCTAAAGATAAAGCTTCATACAAATATCCTTTATATATTCAGAGAACTCTTACTACACCAGAAAGAAGATTACTGGGGCCAGCCATTAGCATGGTGGTTAAGGTGTCTGGGTCTCACACAGCCAACTGCATAGTTCTAGCCCAGACACAGTGGCTCGAGAAATGCACCAGGCACATGTGCATGTGTGCCCAAAATCTTGAGAGGAGAATAGAGGAGAAAGGATTGTGGCATGGCCATCCCCCAGGAGTGATTTCTTACTTTTCTTTTCTCCCTCTGTCTCTCTAGGACTGTATAACAAAAACAAAAATAAAATAAAAATACAAAGAAGATAAACTGAGAAACAAATTAGGCAAAGGGCTTAACAAGAAATTCAAAGGAACACACAGTAATAAAGATTTTATTGCAGGCGACATGGTAGTTAAGTCAGCTTGATCCTACCCACATGGCCATCTGTGTAGCTCTGAGTCCTGGACATGTCAGCTTGAAAAACTTGCCAAGCACTTGTGTGGGCATGTGGATTGTAGTGTGGTCTTCCCCTCTGGGGATGCTTTTTCTCTTTCCCCAACCCCCTTCTCTTCTCTCTCTATCTCTCTCCAGCAAGTACACATGCCCCGTAGCAAATTTAAAATAATAGTAATAATACTTGTGGTCAGCAAGGTTATGTGGAAATGATTATTGCCATGAATTTACATGGAAATAAAACTTTATATAACCTTCCTATAGATATTTTAGTTATATATATATCAAGATTAAAATAAAAATGGCACATACTGGAGCCAGCAAGTGATGTGGTGGTTGAGGAGCCGGACTTCCACCTGCCAACTGTGGTTCGAGTACCAGGCCTAATGGCTTGCATTCTCACTTTCTCTCTCACTTTGTCTCTCTCTGGTGAGCGCATGTGCCGTATAGAAAGCTAAAAAATAGTTAACAATGATAAATAAAATTAAATTTTAAAAAAATTCTTAAAAAAAAAAAGCCACATACCATTTAATTCAGCAGATCTTCTAGGAACCTAAGGAAATAAATGCACAAATATGCAAAGATGTATATATCAGGTAGTTTTGAAATACTGTGATTGTAGGTTGCCACGACCTCATTCAGTGATTTGCTAGAAGGACCCAAGAAATTTTGGCTAAGTTTTTTAATCTCAGGACACACAATGGGATCAGCAAAAAAGAAAAAGGCATAGACAGGGTCTGGAGAATTTTATGCGCAGACTTCCAGCACTTTCTTCCTCCTATGAAGGGGACTCATTGAGTATGCAGCTTTTACAAGCAGCAAAAAGTGCAGTAAGACATGCACCATGTTTCTTTCCAGGGAAGCCCACTGGAGACTTGGTACCCAAGGTTTATATTGAACTTACATGGGTGCAGGTCTTTCTAGCACATGTCATAATTCCTGATTTATGGATGGAAACCAGGTCTTTACCATAAACCATGTGGTTTATACAAACAGCCTGGACACACTGAGCTGCTCTTACCTTTTAGGAATGATTGGAGTGCATAGTTCACAGACATCAATCAAGGACCAACCTTAAGTTTGCGAGTAGGCCTTTCTAAAGATAATAGCTGCATGTCCACCCACTATGTTAACTCTTTTCTGTACACACTCATAAAAAGATGTTGCTAACAAAATAGTATAAATACTGTGAGCCATTTTGTTTAAACTTTGTGTGTGTGTTTGTACACTTTTTTCTTTCTTTCTTTTTTTTTTTAGCTACAGGGTGCATATACTTGCCAGAGAGAGAGAGAGGAAAATTGAGAAAACAACACACCCCTCTCCTCCCAGGGGAGTAGTCACACACTATAATTCTTTCTTTCGTCTTCTACTTTCGGAATTTGGGGCATGCATGCACATGTGCCAGATGTGTTTTCTAAACTGCCTGGTCTGGGACTTGAACTGTACAGTTGACCATGCAAGATTCAGCTGCCTTAACCACCACACCACCAACTGGCCTGAAATATTTTCTTTTTAGTTACATTTTTATGCATCCATATGGTAAAAGTCTGAAAGGATATATATCAAACTCATTGGTACTATGGATATTTGGTTATCAGCATACTTTTTCTTCTGCTTTGTACCTTTCTGTCATTTACATTTTTTATATCCTGTGGTACTTTTATCATCAGAGCAGAAAGTTCCACTCAACTGGGAAGTGACCAGTTAGGTAGGTTATCATTTCCATTTTGATAGTGAAATGGGGATTCAGAGGTTTTGGCTTATCTGAGATCAGCTAACAAATGAAAGCAGGAATTACCAAAGGTTTATTGACTGGTGAAAGTGAACCTTGAAAGATTTGAAGGCAACAGATTGAATAAAACAGATGGTTTGGGGATGTTTCTGTTGAAGGGATGTTTCTGAAGAACATAAGAAACTTTCTTTGGAAGAGGAAACCATGTGGTTAAGAATTCGTTCCTTAACATTGAGGCTGATCAGTGGACTTCCCAGTCTTAACCACCCGGTGGAGCCAAGGAACTCTGAGAAGACAGCTGAGAATGGTGTATCTTCTCGGATTGACATTCTTCGTTTGCTCCTTCAACAGTTGGAGGTGGCCCTGGAGACAGGAAAGCGATTTATTGAGAAGGAAATTCAGGTATTATCATTAAGCATTGCCATCAAAGGTATAATAATTATAATTGTGTTTTCAAAAATAGAAATTTGGGTGGGTAAATAGTAAAGAATAGCATTTGGTCCCAGTTTATGGCATTAAAGGAAAAAGGGGACTATTATAGACTTAGAGGGAATGGCAAAATAGCTTTTTGTTATGGTAAATTTTAAATAACTATCAACAAGTTAATACAGCATTCCTACATTATCATAATGATTCAGTTACTGGTTTACTAATAAAAGACTTTTTAAAAATTTTGCCATAGGACACATGTGCTTGCCGAAGAGAGAGGGGAAGTGGTGTGGGAGGGGTGAGAAAGTACCACCACAGGGGATGGCCATGCTGCATTCCCTTTTCCTCCATTCTCTTCTCGGGATTTTGGGCATGCATACATATGTGTGCCAAACATGTTTTTCAATCTGCTCTGTCTAGGACTCGAACCACGTAGTCAGCCATGTGGTATCCAGTTGCCTTAACCATGATGCCACTGGCTGGCCCAAATGAATGACTTCCAAAAAGACGTGTAGTGGTTTTTTTTTCCATGAGATTCAGAGACAGGCAGACTGACACAAGTATCCCCAAAAGGCTAGCATTCACCCCCACTCTCAGCTGGCCTAGATCACTGGCACAGACTCCTAGTGTACATGTCCATAGTGTTTAGGGAGATCCTGGGATACAAACCTACTACCATTCTCATGAGGGTCCAGTTCAATACCACTGTGCTACTACTTGACTCCTAATTAATGACTTTTTCTTTTAAAAATGTTTTTTTTAATAATATTTGTTTATTTCCATTTGTTATTATTACTTTTTAAAATTATTTAATTTTATTTATTTATTCATTCATTTAATTTGACCAGACACACACACACACACACACAGAAAGAAAGAGAGAGAGAGATGGAAAGTGAGACATCAAGCCACCAGGTCTGGGACTTCAACCGTGGTCAGCCATGTGGGAGTGTCCAGCACCTTAACCACCACACCACCTGCTGGTCCCTGTTATTACTTTT